TTCAAGAGAGAATTAATGGCTTTAAATACATATTTTAAAAGAAAGCCTAAAAGGCTCTCAATATGTGAATCCCAGGAACCAGGCATAAATGCCATCAGATGCCTTAAAATATCCTTAGATGCAGGATGCAGGCCGTATTTAATTGCTTGCCCTCTTCAGGACTGCAATTATTCTGCCTAAATTGTACAGGTCTCTTTTAAATAGCTCTCACGTTCCTTGTCACAAGACATCTAATTGCAAGCGGCAAAATAATTCACTAAAATAAAGGCACAAACTTCTGGCCTTTAAAATTCAAATTTTAAATAAAAAACCCACTTGGATATTATACTTTGGCTTTATGGTACAATATAGCCATATAAACCAGAAAGGGTATTAAATCACTTGTTATTTGTGTTCCTCATAGAAGGAGTGATGACAATCAGCAACTTCATTATGAAAAGCAGTTTTCCAACTTCTTTTGGTTAGGAAGATTTTGGGGCAACAGACCCATTTTTTTTAAGATTTTATTTATTTATTTGACAGAGAGAGACACAGTGAGAGAGGGAACACAAGCAGGGGGAGTGGGAGAGGGAGAAGCAGGCTTCCCTCAGAACAGGGAGCCAGACGTAGGGCTCAATCCCAGGACCCTGGGATGATGACCTGAGCCAAAGGCAAACGCTTAATGACTGAGCCACCCAGGCACCCCAACAGACCCATTTTTGAGTGTATATGTATGTTTTGATTCTTTCCCTAGGAGAATTGGAGGCAGCTCTTCACTTCTGGTCCCCTCCCCCTTTTCAGTTTAAGGTTATAATGTAATTGGCTGTAGCCACTAAATAGGAATAAGATCTAATGTCTAACTGAGTTCCAATGTAGTTCCATAGTCCACTCCAGGTCCACTCCGTGTGCTACCTTGGGCAAATGGTTTAATCTCAGTATTCTTACCTGTAAAATAAGGACAATCATATTACTTACTTAGTGGGATTATTTTAAAGTTCACATTATTTTGGAACAGTGCCTCATTTATGGAAAATCTCACTAAATATTAGTTGGTTAAATTTTAGTAGGCAATAGACAAAGCTCATCTTTCCTGATGCTACAAAATACCTCTCAGAGTTAAGAGTTTTTATCAACTATACTCAAATAAAAATAAAGTCAATAAATTTTTTTAAAAATTTTTAAAGATTTTTTTAATTATTTATCCATTTGACAGAGAGAGAGAGAGAGAGAGAGAGAGAGAGAGCAAAAGCAGGGAGCACGATATGGGGCTCGATCCCAGGACTCTGGGATCATGACCTGAGCCAAAGGCCAATGCTTAACTGACTGAGCCACCCAGGAGCCCCAATAAAATATTTCTTAAAGAGGGAAAAAGAGTTAAGAGGTTTTTTTTAGAAGGAACAGTTAGTAAAAATAAAAGAAGCATTTAATAGTCATTATATTGTAATTCTTTCAAATCTTTAGGCAGTCCTGAAGGGATGAAGGCCTAAGAGTGATCATCTCTTGTATGTCAGCTCATTCCTGATTACATTCTACTAGCTCACGATTCATATTTATCTCATTGTGGCATTCCCCAAGGTTTAGAGTGAGTAGAAAACTTGACTTATTGTCTCTTCCTGAAGTTTATCTCAAAAATCTGCCAAATCTGTGCAGAGACCTGGCATGTACCGTCTTTTTCTTTTCTTTCATTCATTTCATAGACATTTGCCTATCATGTATAGGGCAACCTTCAATGGTTACATCCAACAGCAAAAACTGTGGGTTGCTCAGAGACAAATCCCCTTTCATTCTTTCTTTCTTTCTCTTTGTTTGTTTGTTTCTTTCTTTCTTCCTTTCTTTATATTTATTTATTTATTTGAGAGAGAGAGAGAGAGAGAGTGAGCTTGCACACATTAGCAGGGGGAGGGGCAGAGGGAGAAGGAGAGAATCTTTAAGCAGACTCCCTGCTGAGCGAGAAGCCCGATGCAGGGCTCTATCCAGGACCCTGAGATCGTGACTGAAGCCAAAATCAAGAGCAGGCCACTTGACAAACTGAGGCACCCAGACACCCCTCACATTCTTTTTTTTTTTAATTATTATTATTTATTTTTATTTTTTAAAAGTAGGCTCTATGCCCAACACGGGGTTGAACTCACTCAGGACTCTGAGATCAAGAGTCGCATGCTCTGCCAAGTGAGCCAGAGGCACCCCAAACTCTTTCCATTTTTATTTAAATTCTGAAAGAATCTACATACATGACTTAAATTTAAAAAAAAAAACTTCTCTTTCAATTTTTTTTCAGTAGATCCCTTATTTGAAAGCTGATAGTTTTGAAGTAACAGCAAAAGAAAAGCAATAAATTTTTTTGTTGTTGGGACGCTTAGGTGACTCAGTCGGTTAAGCATCTGCCTCCAGCTCAGTTCTTGATCCCAGGGTCCTGGGATCGAGCCCTCATCAGGCTCCCTGCTCAGTTGGGAGCCTGCTTCTCCCTCTGCCTGCTTCTCCCGCTGCTTGTGCACTCTCTGACAATAAAATCTTTTAAAAAATAAAATTTTTTCTTGTTCTTTTTGCTCAAACTTTATCAATTCTGTACATTTGTAAATGACAATAAATTAGAATCTCTTAGACCTATATATGACTCTCATCTACCCTGGGGTGGAGCATAATTGAGAATTTGGCTTTCATTGATTTTTTATGGATTTGTTCCTTTTTTCTCAAGAATGGTCCAATACTCAAATATTTTAGGGTGTGCTCCAATTTACTGCTGATGTACCCTCTAAAATCTGTCTTTTGGGGGGAAGGCAGAGGATCATCAAATATCTCCATCCTTTCTGGGTCTCAGGTACAGTGGGGTTTTTGACTTAGGAATTGTCCTATCTTGACCCGTTGGGTCCCTGGGGCAGACACACTCATCAACCAGCCCAGGAATGCCTGACTCTCTAGCCTGTCTTTGGACCAGCTTCCTGGGCCCCATGAGTAACCCTCTGCAGTTTGAATCAAGCCAGCTCAATGACGTTCCCACACTGGTGGGTTTGTTCTGGGATAGCTGAAAGTCTTTAAGGCCACTCTGGGAGAGGACTTCTTCCTTCCCTCCGGGGAACTTCCTTTTATAAAATGGATGAAAATGTACTAGGAAAATTATCCCTAGAGTAACTTCCTCTGAGAAGAGCAAGTAGAGCCTTCTTGTGTTGGCTATGCTGTTTGCCCCCTACTCCAGTCCCAGCCTGGGACCCGCTGTCTGCCCTGTCCAATCTCTGTGTCCTGGACTAGGTTCTAGACTCCCTTGCCCTCTGGTTTCCAGCTGGGTTTGGCCACTGGGAGGCACTCCCAGGAGAATGGAGGGTGGTTGGAGAGAGGTCAGGGTATTTCTTTCTTTGCCGTCTCCTTGACAGTGAGGTACTTCTGAAAGTGGTTGCTTTCTCATCAGCTGTAGCTCCTGTTTTGTGCCCCCTGCCCGGTACTCTAGCTCTCTTCCTTTACTCCTACTACTTTAGGGGTGATAGTATCTTCCCACTTTTGCTAATCTCTGTGTTGATTCCCTGAACCCTGCCCATGCCTCTAAATTGTCCCTTAACTTAAAGCTTTCTGTAAGTTAAAATCTTTGCCCGTACCATCTGTTTTCCTCCTGGAAAGGCCCTTGACTGATGCAGTCATATCAAGTTATGCTTCCTCCCCTTGGAAAATCTGAAGACCCTTCCAATTAGAAGCAGTCACCTCCTAGGTGTCTACATCCACCTTCAACACAACTACTACAAAATCCAGGACATGGGTCACGGTTTGCTAGAATGAGAGGTCCTCCAGGGCAGGAACACTGTTCTGAGCATAGGTGGACACCCCCCCATCCCATACTTAGTCCAGCCCCTGGCATATAGTAGGTGCTCAATAAATGTTTCCGACAGAGGCAGCACCCTTGGGCCCCAAGAGCCTCCAGTCTCAGCTCCCTGCCTCCTCCCCCACACCACCTGCTGCGCTGCGGGCACCTGTAGGATCTGGATCACCATGCTGGCCAGCTGGTGTATTTCCTATTGTGCTTGACAGAAGGAAGTTCATCCACGTGATTTTTGCAGTATCCAGAAATGGTGGGTATAGCATGTCCTGCAGTAAAAAGCTTGTGGAGAAATGCAGGTTTTAGTTTCACCCCCACATTGTTGCTATTCCCATGTGAGAGTTGCCCCCCTCACCCCCCAAAGCTTGAAACATTTTATTTTGAGATGGGGGATTACAGTCTGAAACAATGAGACAGAAGTAGGTGGTCATGAATAGCCTCTGAGTATGTTGTACACCTGCGACCTTTCCCAAAACGCTGAAGAGGAATTATTATTCCATCTAGGCAGCCATGAGGCATGTTATGTTTTTAAGAAATATTTGCATCTGGGTAGGCCTGATTTTTTAATATTCTTAGTGGAAAGCGCTTTGAACCATAAATGCACACGGAAAGGCAATTGCTATGGAGACTGAGCCTCTGCAGTGCATTTCTCCGAGTTTTCTTCTCGGGGAGATTCAGTATCCATGCTGTGTCCTAGGCACACTGCTCTGGGTGGAGGCCCAGGCGCAGCAGTGTTGGGGCGTGGGGGGGGGGGTGGCAGTCCACTTGGGACTGGAACCCTCCCCAGGACTGAAAGCTAGAGGCGGCCACCCAAGGTAGGGTGTGTGTGTTGGAGGTGGGTGCGGGATATGTTCTCAGGTTGTGCAGGCCCCCAGCTCGCCAGCCTGTGCGGGTACCACGTGCATGAGGCGCGCATGGGGGCCCCTAGCGCGCAGCCGCGGTGGGTGACTGCGCAGCGTCCCAGGGTACGGGGCGTGTGCCACTGTGAGCTTCTGGTTAGGTGGAGGGCTCCGCGCCGCCCTGCCCCCGCCCCCCCCCCAGTGTGTGCGCGCGGCCTCGGCCCAGCGCCCCGCCGAGTGGGGCTGGAGCCCGGGAAAGCGCGCGCGCGCGCCTGTGTGTGTGTGTGTGTGTGTGTGTGTGTGACAGTGTGTGTCAGGTGACTTGGGTCACGCAGTCTCTCTCTCCCTCCTCGGGGAGGAACTGCCGCGCTCCGGCTGACTCCTCCGCCGGCAGGCGGGCGGGGCGGGGAAGGGGGCTCCGGGCGCGGTGGGAACCGCGAGACCCAGACCTGGACGCCGACAGCCGCGGGGGGCGCGCGGCCCAGCCTCCGCGGGCTCCCGCCAACCTCCAGACAAAACCCCAATTCAGAAATAGGTTGCGAGCGGCAGGGGAGGAGGTTTGGCCCCCACCAGGGACCCCCGCCGCCCCCAGGACGGCCGGCCGTGGGAGCGATGAGCCAGGTGCTGGGGAAGCCGCAGCCGGAGGACGAGGACGACGACGAGGAGGATGAGCTGGTGGGGCTAGCGGACTACGGGGACGGGCCCGACTCCTCGGACGCCGACCCGGACAGCGGGGCGGAGGAGGGAGGTGAGCGCGGGGTCCCCCGCCCGGCCCCACGCCCCGCGCGTCCTCAGCCCGCACCCCGTCCCTTCCCTCTGTGTCTTCCCGCCCCCCGCCCGACCAGGCGCGCAGGCCACCGACTTGGAGGGGATCCAGGAGAGCGGAGTTGAGGGGTGGGGGTTGGGGAGGGGCGCCCGAGGAGCGACGGGCTGCAAAATGGGGGATCCCGGGCGCAGGCGGCGGAGGGGCGACCCGGATCCGTGGAGAGAGCAGAGAGGAAGCGTAAGGGCAAGGAGGAACGTACCCTCTCTGGCCCCTTCCAGGGCTAGTACCTCCCCCGCCCCTCACCCGGAGCTCTCCACAGGGTTTGGGGGTTGGGAATGGGAGGGGACCGCCCGGCGCGCCCTGGGACCTCTCCTTGAATGCTGCTGTCGAAGCCTGGTCAGATGTCGTGGCTAAAAAAGGCAGCCGGCGGCAGCGTGACTGGCAGGGTCGTCGGCAGCTGCGGGTGTCAGTCTTACCCCGTGTCGCCGCGGGAGGGGTCCTTGGGCTGCCCCGGTCTGCGGCGTCTGGGGCCCCCTTGGAGCCGCGGGGGGATGCGCACAAGTGATGTGGGAGTCACCGAGTGGCCGCGGGTTTCCCGGGATCCAGGGGCAAATACAGTTGTTAGGACACCTTATCTCTGTTCAGTGTCACCACCTGGGCATGGCAGTGCTTGCCCTGGAGTGAGCGCGGGGCGGGGGGAATACATTGCCACTCAGAAGCAAACTCTGTTTCCTGTTTAAGAAGTGGGATTTAGCAATTGTTCAGCCTGGTGTGTGTGTTTGGGGGGGGGGGGGTTCCTGCATTGAATTCTTAAGGCCCAAGGAAGTTGAGAGATTTTTAGGATTCCAGAAAGGTTCTTTTTTTGTTTGCCCCCGAAGTAAGGGAGAAAAGTCCTCTATTGTAAGGTCACTTGAAAAGGTCAATAGAATGAGGCTGTTAAACATAATATCTAGATGAAGCTGTAGGCTTCCTAGAGAAGGAACGAACTTCTAAAAATTTCACTTTGAAGAAATTGTAGTATTGAAAATTCACTGAACTTATTTTAAAATTCCTATTCAAGGTCTTTCTGCGGAGGACAATTTCCATTATTTTATGTACGGCAGGTGCTACTTTCAATTAATCAGAAAGGGAAGAAAGTTTTTTTTAAAGAGGGAAGAAAGTTAAGTAAACCTTGAGCCTGATAGATGAGAAAGAAGCTTTCAAAGTCACACTTTTTCATAGTGTCCTGTGTCCAGAGAGGATTTGTGCTAATTCCCCATTTGTTTAAATTGGTGTGTGCACCTGTGTGCTTCTCTCTTCTGCACTCCCCGTAATTGGTCCCACAGTTGAGCACGTGGCCACGTTTTTGTAGATAAAGGCTTTCAACCCTTTTGTTGGAGTCTCTAGGGCTACCTTTGGTAATTAAATTGTTCAGTCGCTTTGTTGTTATTCAAATTGCTTTCGTTAGCTCCTTCTAGATTCTTAGAAGACTCCAGAGATTCAGAATGGGGATGTCTTTGGAAGATATTCGAAATAGTAGACACACAATAGGGCACATGTGTGATACTCTTTTTAAAAAAGAAAAGAGACTATATCTGGGAAGAAAAGCCCTGTAATTCGATACTGTTCTGGGGACCTGAGACGTTCCATGGAAAGTAAAGGACCTGCTTATTTATTCTGCAGTTCTTTAAGGGGGGCACTTTTATTAAAATTTGATTTGAGGACTTGAAATTGAAATGAAAGTAAAGCTTTGCCTGAGGGGTGGGATTTCCTGAACAAAGGGCTTCCCCAGAGCCTGGTCTTGAATGCTCCCCACTGCTCCTAACCTAAAGGCAAAATCTGTAACTCTGTTAACTGATGCTTTTCATTACTTCAGTAATAAAATCATCCCTCGTGAGTTCTTTGGATCAACCTGGAATCTTGCTATAAAAGCATTAAGTATATTTATGTGGTAAGAGGAGTGACAAATGATTATTTGCTCCTGCAAACATTACTGAGGCTGGGTCTTTATCCCCCTGGGCCTGCCATAGGTAGGTGGTCTGTTCTCAGAAGATTTCTTCTATTATATCAGGTTCCTGTTCTTTCCACATATCCCTGGCTTTGATTTTGGGGTTTAGGCCTGAATGCAGAATCTCTTATCAGAATATTCACTTTCTAGAGTGGCAGAGAGGCTCCTCAGTCCGCAGTTCTAGCAACAGCTGTCCCTTACAATGTCATGCCAACTGATAGGATCCTGGGAAGTTGAGATGAGGGTGGAGGACAGGAGTTGTGACTTTTGTTCCTGGGACCTCAAGTGCCACCAAAGGGTCATCTCAATTTCTAATGGGACCCGGGCACATGTTGCATTAGAATCCTGTGTTTATTTTGGTAAAATTTACATCTACCTACTCTCAAATGTAAGAAAAGGAATGTGGAGGGAAAGGGACTTTTTTACTCTGAGGAAAGATGGATATGGTACATTTTGAACCATGAACAAAGCATTTCTCTAATGAACTGCCTTCCCCCTTTACCTTCCTAATGGACTTGATTTAATGCCTTTGCTTAGTGGGGATCCGGGGCTTTTTCCAGGAGGTTCAGAAATCTACCCTGGCCGGTGGGATGCAGGACTGACTAGCATCACCAGGTAAATTGCAAAGCAGTTTATCAGGAACTGTGCAAAAAGAAGGTAGATTGAAAGTCGATAGTGTGAATTCCATTTCCCTTAGTCTTAGAAGGAACCTCTGATCTTACTTTTAAACTGAGGGCCTTGTAAGTTTTACTACAATGTGCAAAATTTGAAAACTTAGTGCAGCTAAGGTGAAACTTAAATTGCACTTCCCTGGCTTGCACTCCAAATTTTATTCATGAATAGCTGGAGTGTTCTCGGGCACTTTAGTTCTGTTAAGGACAGATTTGGACACCTCTCAACCCCCCTTTGAAGGTAGTTAATCAGAGATAAGGTGAGTCTCACCTTCAACCTCCTCACTCCAGATAAAACTCCAGAGAGTGGAGGCAATAAATAAGCCATTAAAAACAATTGCAGCAAATATAATTGTTTTTAGACACATGGGGTTTGAATCTTTAGTAAATTACTGTGCTTTAAAACTGCAATAACAAGGAAAGCAATTAAAAGTCACATGAGGCGCCTGGGTGGCTCAGTCAGTTAAGTATCTACCTTTGGCTCGGGTCATGATCTCTGAGTCCTGGGATCGAGTCCTGCGGGCTCCCTGCTCAGCGGTGAGTCCTCTTCTCCCTCTGTCCCTCCCCCCACTCATGCACTCTCTCTCAAATCAGTAAAATCTTTAAAAAAAATCATATTTAATCAGAAAGTGAAATTGTTTTTTCCCCAAGTCCCTCCCAGTTTTTAGGGGAAATTTGGCTAAGACAGCTGCTCATGCAGAGTCCAGCTAAGGTGCGGTCTTGTTTCCATAGCAACCTGTGAACTCTCCTAGGGTCTGAGGAAGTGACAGTTTAGGTGGTTACTGGAGGCACGAAAAATCGACGGTCCGCAGATGATACTTCCCTGATGGGTGTAAATGCAGTGAAACCACTGGTTTGCATCTATTAATCATGAGTGTCAGCTTTTTTTTTTTCTTAAAGTAATTTAAAAAACTAGTGAATTTATCCTCTCATTGTTCTTTGAGAGTAAGTAGAGATAGATAATTGTTCTTCTGATAGTGACCCTGTGGCTCAGAGGTGCTAGGACTTTTCTGCAGCCACAACATGAGCTAGACCTGAGCAAGGTTTAGGAGAAGGTCAAGTTCATGGATACGTAAATCTCTTTCCTTTTAATTCCACCTCGTCCAAAAAGAGTTGGGTTAGCTACAGCCCTGGCTATGCCTAATCTCTCGGGTTTTCCTCTGGCCCTGGAAATACAGAGATACAGAAGAGTTGGAATAGATGAAATACAGAATAGTTAAAAACGATGTGACCAAAGTCACACCTTAGGCACAATACTTGTTTAAATACATATGGCACGGGCGTGCGTGAGTGAGGGGGAGGGACAAAGGGAGAGTGAGAGAGAGTCTTAAGCAGACTCCACACGGAACCACACACAGGGCCTGATTTCATGACCCTGAGATCACAACCTGAGCTGAAACGAGGGGTCGGACACAACCAGCTGTACCACCCAAGCTCCCCGAGTGCTTCTTTTTATATTAGATGTTTTGTAAACATGTTTCAGTGATTCAGCGTATCATAGAATCTTGATTCTATACTTCTATCAGAAATCTCTCCCATTTTCGTATCAGAACAGACATAGGGTAGTCTGATGGGGAAAAAAGCAGAAACTAAGTTCTAGAGTTCTGGATAAGGGATGTAGTTCTGAGTTTGCAAGATCATCTTTGTCAGTCCCCAGCTGACTCTGTGTCTGTCTGTTTACCCTCTGCTTCAATCCGTCCCCTGACCCCATAGCTGTTGTTGGTGACACAATTTCACTTCATACCTCAGCCACCTCTTTCCTGTTCATTTTGTCACTTTCTTCTCTACCTCCTTTATTCATCCTTACCTTTTTTTTTTAACCTTTTCTGTTCTTCCTCTTCCGTGAAAGCTTTCAAGCTGTCTTGTAACAGTGGCTTTTCCCTGCTTCTGCTGTGACACTCAAGAAAAATGGGTTTTTCACTCCTGTCCTGAATCGTGTAGGATGCTGTCAACTTTCTCCTTTTGAGGACCTTTGGGGGAGACTCCAGCTTGGTTTCTCAGTGCATAAGGTAGAGGATCACAGAAAACCAACTTGGATCACTCTCAGAGTGTTAAAAAAAAGAAAAAGAAAAGTTCACAAGAGCACTTTTCTCCTTCTTGCAGGAGCATTAGTAAATCAGAACACGTTAGAAATGTTACTGAACATGTATGTTAAGGAAATATTCATATATGGAATTTTTTAGTGACCCACCAGTGTGATGTCAAAGGGTTTCATAGGGAAAGGTTTGGTCCTTCACATATAAATAAAATCACCTTCAAAAACTTTCATGCCTTTGAAAATACATGTTCTGTTTGCATTTAATTCTCCTTACTAAGTAGTTGAT